TGACAAAGAGAACTTTCTCCACCTCTCCCAAAATACTAGCACTGGAGGGCATCCAATGAAGCTGATGGGCAGTAGGTTCAGGGCAGACGAAAGGAAATACTACTTTACACACAGAGTGATTAAAATGTGGGATTCGCTGCCAGAGGATGTCGTGATGGCCACAGGAATGTTGTTGTTGTTCAGTCGCACAGTCGAGTCCGACTCTTCGCGACCCCATGGACAATCTCCCGCCAGGCTCTCCTGTCTTCCGCCGTCCTCCGAAGTTGGCTCAATTTCATGTTCGTTGCATCGATGACACTGTCTAACCATCTCATCCTTTGCCGTCCCCGTCTTCTTTGACCTTCAATCTTTCCCAGCATCAGGGTCTTCTCTAGTGAGTGCTCCCTTCTCATTTGGTGGCCAAAGTATTTGAGCTTCATTTTCATTATCTGGCCTTCCAGGGAACAGTCAGGGTTGATTTCTTTTAGGATTGACTGATTTGTTCTTCTTGCAGTCCAAGGGACTCTCAAGAGTCTTCTCCAGCACCATAGTTCAAAAGAATCTATTCTTCTGCGCTCGGCCTTCCTTATAGTCCAACTCTCGCAGCCATACATGACTACTGGGAATACCATTGCTTTGACCATGCGGACTTTTGTTGGCAGGGTGATGTCTCTACTTTTTATCATGCTGTTTAGGTTCGCCATCGCTTTCCTCCCAAGGAGCAGGCGTCTTTTAATTTTATGGCCACAGGAATAAATAGCCTTAAAAGAGGATTAGACTGATACATGGAGGATCAATCCATCCATCTGTGACTATACGTTTTTATTGAATTTAAGGGGATTAGATTTCTGGACGATAATTCTATCTACGGCTACTACCGTGTTTTCCCGAAAATAAGACACTGTCTTATATTTATTTTTTCTCAAGAAGACACACTAGGTGGCTATACGTTTTTATTGAATTTAAGGGGATTAGATTAGATTTCTGGACGATAATTCAGCTACGGCTACTAGCTGTGGTGACCGAGTGGAACCTCCACATTTAGAGGCACTAATCCTCTGAATCCCAGAGCCAGGAGGCAACATCAGGGGGAGGTCTCTGTGCCCTGCTCTGCCCCTCAGCCGTCCCCCCCTCCCCCCGTTGCCGATGAAACCCTTGAAAACGGGCCGTCGGAATTCACCCATGGAGTTGGATCTCTCTGATCCGTTCCACCAGAGGAAGTTCAGCCTGGGGAAGTGGTTGAGGCGCAGGATGCGATTGAATCTTAAGGGGTGTTATTTAGAGGGCAGGAAGCTGCTCTGGCCGTTGATGGAGGACGGGGCTCACAGTAACCAGTGTTCCCTCTAAGCTGAGTTAGTGTGAGCTAGCTCACAGTTTTTTAGCTTCCAGCTCACACATTTTGGTCTTCGCTCAGGGGAGGATGGCTCCAGAGCAAACTAATGTATGCAGCAGCCAAATCGCTCGCTCACAACTGTGATGCCAGTAACTCACAAAGCAGGATTCTTGCTCACAAGATTCCACAGCTTAGAGGGAACATTGTAAACCCGTTTAAATTACAGGTGGGGAGATATCGGCGGGAGATTATGGAAAACGTTTTGAATGATAAGAGCAGTTCTGTGGTGGATGGGTTTTAGGCTGGCAGATGAGCAGGACTCGTAAGCCTGGGTTTTCCTTAGACAGTGTGTGGTTCCATTTCCCCCTTCAGGCTTTCCTTCTTCCCAGAAAGTGTGAGGAGGGGTGGCCTTCTGTTTGCCTCCCCTCTGGAGGCAGCCATTTTGGGGTTTGACTCCGTCTCCCACGGCAGCCATTTTGGGGCATGCGCTGACCACCCCCCTCTCAGCATTCCAAGGCTGTATTACCCTCTTTAGGGGCTCCTGCTTTAGGTTGTCCTGCACTGTGCAGGGGGCAGACCGGATGGCTGGTAAGCCCCTTCCGACTCTTAATTGAATGATTCTGAGGGTTTTCTTCCAGTAGAAGAAGTCATTCCTAGACCCAGGATGCTTGGAAGAGC